CACAAATTAGTTTATATAATCTAATATAAACTTACTAACAAACTAATTTACACATACACAACAACAAAAAATGAACAACAAAAAATAATAAATTACTCACGTATTTATGCCTTCTTCCTTTCCTTCCTTGTTTCTTTCTTCGAATCAATCTGTACGTGGGCATATATTGTGGAATAATGCCCTGTATGTGTAAACAAAATATTTATTTAAACAACAATAGCTCCCACAAATTAATTTTATATAATCTAATATATTATAATATAACTTAAACTAATAAACTATTTCTTTATTATAATATAACTTATTTAAAATAACAAACTAATTAATCACTAATTAATTTTTTTATAATACAACTTCAACTTCAACGAACAACCTAATATATGTTTAAAGACACTAACAAATTAATTAATATTTTTTTTATATTTAATAACTTAAACTAAGAAACTAATTAACTAATTTTTTATATAATATATATAACTTAACTAACAAACTAATATAATATAACTTAAACTAACAAACTAATAATTTTACTAACAAACTAATTAACTAGATTTTAGTTTTACCCTAAACCCTAAACTAACAAACTAATAATTTCATATAATAAACTAAATTAAACAATAAAAAATTACCTCACGAACTATGTTTGAGTCTTTATCTTCTTTTCTTCTTGTTCCTTTTCTTTATCTCGGCAAAGTTTATATGTGCTTATGCTTATGCTTCTGGTTCTGCTTCTGCTTTTACCCTAAACCCCATATCCTTTATATAAAGCAAATGAACGTCGGACAGAGTCATTAAATTTGACTGTTGAAGCAAATAATATTAGCATTGAATCGTATAACTATTGAGCATTGAAAGGCTGCAATTGAACAACAATATTTGCTGCATTTAGCAGCTAAATTAACGCTGCAATAATGCAGCTATGGATGCAACGCATGCAGCTACGGATGTAGGAATCTCCCAGCTATGGATGCATTGCATGCAGCTACGGATGCAGAAATCTCCCAGCTATGGATGAAACACATGCATGAGGCTATGGATGCAACGCATGAGGGATGCAGAGGGTTAAAGCTTGGTTGTGGTGCAGAATCTCCCAGGAGCTTGGTCGCCGAGACTCCATGTCGACCTACCATGTCGCCGGGACTCCATGGCGACCTACCATGTCGTCGGGACTCCATGGCGACCTACACCATTCGACGTGCATGGCCCATGCACAACTCTCACATGCATCCCACAGCTCCCACATGCATCACTCCTTGGTCCCACAGCTCCTACATGCATCATTCCTTGGTCGCCCGGATTGCATGGCGACCTCATTGGTCACCCGGAGTGCATGGCGACCTCCTTTTATCACTGTAGAATTCACTCTATCTCAGCAAATAATATGTCCAAAACATTATCTCGTAAAATATAAAGTTCGAGAATATTATCTCGTGGATTTTGTCGTAAAGGGTTGATATACTAGAATTTTGTGCCAAAGGGACACTTCGTCGAGTGGATGGAATAGTTGTTTGGGTAAATTATGCGTTTAGTATCTAGATTATATGTTTTGATTCGTCTTATTACTTAAATTTTAGCTTTTGTTTAATTTTAGTATTTGTCATTAAAAAAATTATTTTTATTTCATTTTAATATATCGTTCAAAATATAATGTTAAATTTTGAAAAACTAAAAGTTTACATATTAAAACGAATCTAAAATAAAATGAAAATTAAATGTTAGATACGATTTTAAAAAAGTTAAAAATTTAAATATTAAAACTGACAGTTTAGATACTAAATGTATAATTTACCTAGTTGTTTTTATGAGTTGTTAAGAGATAGAGATGCAGCCTTTAGTACTACTTGTCTCTTAGATTTGTCTGCTTTGCCAACTGCCGGTTTGCAATTAGGTTGAATCCGTTGGTCGGTTTTTCACACGGTTTGAAGTGATCATTCTTATTGGGCTATCCAATTTAATCTCAACACATAATAGACAAGGGGTTAAAATTGGATACATGTTTTAAAAAATTCTTTTAATATAGAGTAAATTACGCGTTTAGTACTTAAATATTAGTTTTGGTCTGTTTAGTATTTTAACTTTCAATTTTTTTAAAATCATACTTGAATTTTTTTAAAAAAAAAACTGAAAGTTTAACTATTAAAATTGATCAAAATTGATATTTTAAGCACTAGATGCTTTAAATAAAACATAAACTATACCTTAAGTATTATTTAAAAAAAATTAAAAGTATAAGTATTAAAACGGATGAAAATTGACAGGTTAGGTGTTAAATGTGTAATTTACCCTTAATATAAGATAATGGTATTATCCATAAAGCTACAATCATTATCTAGATATGTCAATTTTCGTTATAATAGTTTATAATAATCACACCGCATAACTAATTAATTACAGAAAAGCCTACCTCTTTATTCGCTGTACACCGATTGTTAACCATGACTTTATACTGAAAAGCTCCCCATAGGGTTATGCAAATAGAATCATCGTCACTGGAAACTATTCCATTCAACTTGCGAACATAATTTATTACAAAATCTAACAAACGTATGGGCACGAAATGGGCGGCGGCAGGTCGTGTCGGATGAGGCCAGGGCCATGTACAACGGGGGAACGACTGGACTCACGTACTGGAGCCCTAATGTCCATGGTTTTAAGAACCGGATCGATCAGTGAACTGGTCGTGCTATCGATTTATTGGTTCAATCGATCGAATCGGTCAGACTGGTCGTAAGAATCGAACGACGTCATAATTATTTAAAAAATTAAATAAAAATACAAAAACATTTAATAAAAAATAAAAAAAATTAAGTTGAACCGGTTCACGGTCCGGTCCGATTCGAACGATTCCTTACGATTCTCTAGAACCGATTGAACCGAGATAGAATAGACCGGACAAGACAGCAGTTCCCGGTTGAACCGGTTGAACCGGTCGGTTTTCAAAACAGTTCATGTCAACATATTTCGGGACCCGCGGTGGGGCCGTGGACAGGAGACTCCGGGTGAAGACCCGGTGCTCGCCGGTACGTATGCGGCGTTCTACGTGAGGGGTTTACAGGGAGGTGACGGTGATCGGTTAAAGGTGGCGGCTTGTTGCAAGCATTTCACGGCCTATGACCTCGATAACTGGAATGGTGTTGACAGGTTCCACTTTAATGCCAAGGTTAGTTCTTTTTTTAATATTGTACGGGACCAACAGCTTTTTCGTAGGATAAAATATAAATAATTATTTAAATATAACTCTGTAATCTATTCTATCCCTATTTGGATAAATTAACATTTAATATTTAAATTATTAATTTTGTTCTATTTTAATATTTAATTTTTTAATTTTTTCAAAATCATACTTAAAATATTATTTTTATTTAATTTTAATAGTCACCGTTAAAAACTTTAGTTTTTGGTACATTTTAATACTATTGTCTAAAATTTGCGTTCAATTTTGAAAAAAAATTAAAATTTAGGTAAAAAAGACTAAAATTAAAGTTTTTGTACTAAATGCATTAATTTTTTAACAGCGAATACGAAAATATTAAAAATCTAAAAAAATTAGATATCAAAACTAATAATTTAGGTATATTATGATTTTGATGGGTAATGTGCAATTATGGATAATATTGCATTCTCAGTTGTCTTTCGTGTTAAGATAATGTTAGAAAAAGTAGCTGTATAGCCTGTACTTTTCAATGCATAGGTGATTACAACTTGGAATTTTATATCAGAAAAGGCTGGATTAATCAACCATTCCGCTTCGTTTTGAAATTTACCATGACATATTTTAAGTATTTCTTTTATTTATTATAGTTTAACTCGAATTATTAAATTTATATTAATTATATTCTATAGTTAATTACAATGATTTAAACTAATTTATAAATAAATCGGACCAACATGTTACATTAAAAATGTTTCTGAATAAAGAATGTTAAATGTCGGACCGCTATGTCATTCTCACGTGGGTGTTTCGCACGTGTGTGCAGGTAAGCAAGCAGGACATCGAGGACACATTCGATGTACCAATCAAAATGTGTGTACAAGATGGCAATGTAGCCAGTGTAATGTGCTCTTACAACGAAGTCAACGGCATTCCTACCTGCGCCGATCCGAATCTTCTACGTAACACAGTACGAGGTCAATGGAAACTCGATGGGTAACCATTTTAAGATAATCATCTCTCATCAATTCCATGATCTTTGATTTTTGTTTTCGATGTAATCGTTGATTGTTGCTGGCGTGAGCCGTAGGTACATTGTTTCGGATTGTGATTCGGTGGGGTCTTTTACAATACCCAACATTACACGGCGACGCCGGAACAAGCGGCGGCCGATGCCATCAAAGCAGGTTTGGACTTGGATTGTGGGCCGTTCTTGGCGCAACACAGTGAAGATGAGGTAAAACAAGGGTTGTTGAAGGAGGTTGACATTAACAATGCATTAGTTAATACACTCCGAGTTTAAATGAGACGTGGCATGTTCGACGGCGAGCTGTCTGCACAACCGTATGGGAACTTAGGGCCGAAAGAAATTTGCAGCCCGTCGAGCCAAGAGCTCGCCCTTGAAGCCGCAAGACAGGGCATTGTTCTGCTTAAAAACCATGGTCCTTCGTTGCCTTTGTCCCATCTACATCACCGAACAGTCGCTGTTATTGGGCCTAACTCCGATGCCACTGTTAGCATGATTGGAAACTATGCTGGTAAGTCCCATGATGATGATTTTCCTTTTCCTTATATTGGTGATTGGATGTTAACAACGAAAGTTTTTTGTTGTTTGATGATTAGGTGTTGCTTGTGGATACACATCTCCTTTGCAAGGAATAGTACGCAAAAACAATTCGCCAAATCGGATGTGCTGATGTTGCTTGCCGAGATGACATGTTATTCGGTGCTGCAATCGATGCTGCACGTCGAGCAGATGCAACGATTCTAGTAATGGGACTCGACCAATCAATCGAAGCAGAATTCAGAGACAGGAAAGGGTTGCATTTGCCAGGGCGTCAACAAGAACTTGTTTCTCAAGTAGCCAAGGCTTCCAGGGGTCCATCATACTGGTTTTAATGTCAGTCGGGCCTATCGATGTTTCTTTTGCGAAGAACACCCTCCATTGCCTCCATTTTGTGGCCCGGGTACCCGAACAAGCAGGAGGAGTCGCGATAGCCGATGTATTGTGTGGGACAACCAACCCAGGGGGCAAGTTGCCTATGACATGGTACCCACAAGAGTATGTTACGAATTTGGCAATGCGTTCGAGCTCGAGCCCGAGGAGAAATTATCCAGGAAGAACCTACAGGTTCTACAAAGGACCCGTAGTGTACCCTTTCGGCCACGGATTGAGCTACACCAACTTCGTTCATACCATTGTCGGTGCACCCAACGTCGTCACCATCCCTCTAGATGGCCACCGTCATTCATGAAATGCAACTGTTTTAGGCAAGGCAATCAAAGTTAATCATGCAAGATGCAACAAGCTGTCGGTAGGCCTTCAAGTAAACGTGAAGAACACGGGATCGAAGGACGGTACTCATACGATGCTAGTGTTTTCAACTCCACCTGCCGGCCATGGGACTCCTCATAAACAGACAGCTGGTAGCCTTTGCAAAAGTGCATGTCCCGGCAGGGTCGGAACAGCAAGTCGGAATCAGCATCCACGTGTGCAAGTTCCTAAGCGTCGTGGACATGTCGGGGGTCCGAAGAATTCCAATAGGAGTACATCATCTCCACATCGACAACATTAAGCATCCCGTATCCCTTCATGCAGAAACATTAGGGGTGATCAAATCATAGTACGCCATTGCTAAACAATAGCAAAATTCATTTTCTTAGTCAATTTGCAAGTGTCAAGTGTTACTTAAATTGTACGAGGAAGAAGTACACCAAACTGGTTGCTTCTACTATTACAGCAATTAATTAAATCAAATTAAAAAAAACATTTTAGTTATACCTGTTCAAATCATTTTAGATTTAATTTAGCTTTAGATTAAACGAAATAGACTGGAAATTGAAGTTCGGAGTTGTGCCTCGAGAAGGTAACAAGGCGGTCGATTGCTTGACGAGACTGGCGTGGAGCTATTCACATGGTCCAGAGCCCCCTGCTGCTGCAGAAAGTGTAGTTAACATGGAGGCTGGTTTGCTTTGAAGCTGCATGGTGATCGCTGGCTTCTTTGGCTTTTTTCCTACACATTCAAAAAAAAAAAAATTCATCCTATTTTAAGCTGCTGTCCTTCGGCATGACATAAGATTTAAGCCCATACTCATTTTGTCCAATCTAATAATGACTTGTTTTACCATTTAAAGATCCATAACATATTAAAATAGAGTAAATTACGTGTTTAGTATTTAAATTATTAGTTTTTGATACGTTTCAGTATCTAAACTTTCAATTTTTTCGAAACATATTTAACGTTTAGTTTTTGTTTTGTTTTAGCATCTTACCGTTAAGTTTTTAACGGGTGATTTGCATGTAGCACATTTTTATGGGTAAATTGCATCATTCATCACTCAATTATCTTCTCACTCCTATTTTGGTCATTAAAGTTAATTTTTTAAAATTTAATCACTTAACTTTCAAATTACTTCTAATTTGATTAAAATAGGAGCAATTTGCAAGTTGAGTAGTAAATTGAATTTTTTTTAACTTTAATACCAAATAGGAGTGAGAAGATAATTGAGTAATGAATGATGTAAATTGCCCATAAAGATACAATACCATTAAGTTTTTAACGGCGATGTACTAAAATGAAATAAAAACTAAACGTTAGATATGATTATGAAAAAAAAAGTACTAAAACATACCGAAACTAATAGCTTAGGTATTAGACACGTTTTCTTAGTCAATTTGCAAGTGTCAAGTGTTACTTAATTGTACGAGGAAGAAGTACACCAAACTGGTTGCTTCTACTATTACAGCAATTAATTAAATCAAATTAAAAAAAAACATTTTAGTTATACCTGTTCAAATCATTTTAGATTTAATTTAGCTTTAGATTAAACGAAATAGACTGGAAATTGAAGTTCAGAGTTGTGCCTCGAGAAGGTAACAAGGCGGTCGATTGCTTGACGAGACTGGCGTGGAGCTATTCACATGGTCCAGAGCCCCCTGCTGCTGCAGAAAGTGTAGTTAACATGGAGGCTGGTTTGCTTTGAAGAAGCTGCATGGTGATCGCTGGTTTCTTTGGCTTTTTTCCTACACATTCAAAAAAAAAAAATTCATCCTATTTTAAGCTGCTGTCCTTCGGCCAGACATAAGATTTAAGCCCATACTCGTTTTGTCCAATCTAATGACTTGTTTTACCATTTAAAGATCCATAACATATTAAAATAGAGTAAATTACATGTTTAGTACTTAAATTATTAGTTTTTATCCATTTTAGTATTTAAACTTTCAATTTTTTCAAACTATACTTAACATTTAGTTTTTGTTTTGTTTTATCATCTTACCGTTAAGTTTTTAACTGGTGATTTGCATGCATTACATTTTTATGGGTAAATTGCATCATTCATCACTCAATTATCTCCTCACTCCTATTTTGGTCATTAAAGTTAATTTTTTTAATTTAATCACTTAACTTTCAAATTACTTCTAATTTAATTACTATAACTTTCAATTTTTTATTTTTAATTATATAATAATAATAATAATAATAATAATGTCATGTCACAAAAATTATTAATAAAATAAATTAGAGTGATTAAAATAGGAGCAATTTGAAAGTTGAGTAGTTAAATTGAATTTTTTTAAACCTTAGTACCAAAATAGGAGTGAGAAGATAATTGAGTAATGAATGATGTAAATTGCCCATAAAGATACAATGCCATTAAGTTTTTAACGGCGATGTACTAAAATGAAATAAAAACTAAACGTTAGATATGATTATGAAAAACAAATTAAGTACTAAAACAGACCGAAACTAATAGACACGTAATTTACCCTTGAAATATGTAAAAACTTCATTTATTCCAACTTTATGGTAAAGATTTAAAAGGAATAATTGGGATCAAATCCTTGAAACATGATTGGATGATTTATATGTTAGTAATAACTTGAGGTAAGATTAAAGATCAAATGATGCCACAACTTGGTGGAAAACAACAATTTATTATTCATGCTATAAGAATTTGATTAATCAAATGATCCCGTGATGATGCTACAAGGATTGCCAAAGCGTTAGTCAATTTTAGTACGATGCAAAATTTTATATTAGGGGAGTCAACGTAAAATTTATAAAATTATAGAAGGATGAATTTAAATTTATAAAATTCTATGAAGGTAAAAATAGATTTTTAATGAAAAAACACATTGAAAAATCTAAAATATATCATTATCTTAATTTTTTAAGGAATAATCACCGGTCATATTCTTTTATGCATCCAAAGAAAATAAGCATCCCTTATACCAACAATCAGTTTGTCTAATGGGTTGAGGCACTAGGTCCCTTAAGCAAGGTTAGAGGTTTGAATCCTAGCATTTGCGAATGGAGCAAATTGGGTTGGGAGAGTCGCCCTCACCTCTGCAGTACCCGATCTAGATTAATCTGTTAATAGATCGGATATCAGTGATTAATTAAAAATAAGCATCCCTTATGTTAATTTTTTATTTATTTTAGTGTAATGTGTCTCGTTTAGGGTTTAGGGTTTTATTGTTTGGACTTTATAGTTAAGGTTTTTAATTTTTGAAATTCGGAATTAAAATAATCCTCTTGAATTCTAAACTTAAACTTTAAATATTATACGTTGAACATATTTTTATGGATTAATCATCGATACCTGATTTATTAATCGATTAATTTGGAATAAATATTACATAGGTTCGTTTGAGGTTTTTCTTCCAACTCAATTTATTGTATTCACAATATTAAAATTTGAAGCAATAATATATTCTGAAAGATCTAGTATTTCATCCAACCACGTATCATAAGAGCAAAAGTGTATCCAATTATAGCAACAACTAAAACTTTAACTCCAATGGACCCCTCCAGAACGCCAGTGGCTCAAGCTTAACTCCGATGGATCGTGCTGTTGCTCGACTAGATTGGCCAAATGTGGTGGGGTTGCTAGGAATGAAGTAGGAGGTTAGTGCTTTAGGTTCTCCGAATTTCTCGGTATTTGTTTGGTACTGGATGCTGAACTTTGGACCGCTTTCTATGCTCTCTTTTATGTTTGGGAATACGATTGTCGGAATGTGATCATTGAGGTGGACAGTCTGAAAGTTATTACTGTGTTAATGATACGTACAAAGGGAATCACTTTCTTAAATGACATTTGGATGAGCTTCGACGTCGTGATTGGAATGTGGTTATACAACATGCTCGTCGCGACGGTAATAACGTGGCTGATACGATGGCTAAGAGTGCGCTGGAGGAAAACTTGGAAGTTGATTACTATGTAGTCCCTCCAAGATGGATACTTGTGGCTTTGCATGCGGACCTATCCCATAATTAATTATATGTTGTTGATTTGGTCCATTCAAATACATAAACTTTCAATTGTTTTCAAATTTTATCATCAAATTTTGAACAATATACTAAAATTTAACAAAAACTAAACTTTAAGTATAGGTTTGAAGAGAAAATAAATGAAAGTTTATGTATTAAAACAGGCCAAAACCGATAGTTTAGACGCCAAACTCACAATTTACCCTAAAAATAATTGTGAATACATGAATTAAAAAGGAAGTAACTACATATTTTTCATGTAGACTAAACGAGAGAGTAGGAGGGATCCACCCCGAATATTAGCATCAATTATTGTGTAGTTTTATAATCAAGACTGTTGTAGTTTAACATGAATTTGTCTGGGCAAACAAATATGAAGGCAAAAGCATTAAAAAGGGTGAGACATAGCAGTGTGTCTTTTCATGGAGTATAGTTGGGTACATGATTAAGTTGTTCATCCGATGTACATCTTACGGTATAAAAGCACTGAACTCTTTAGTTGCTCCTATTTTGATCATTCAATCGTTAATGTACATCGTACGTTAATAATCAGAACAGTTAATAAAAGCGTACAAATTGATAATCAAATTATATATGAATTTAGATTAGAATAAGTTTATATGAATTTTGTGTTTTTCAGTGAATATCTTATCATTTTTTACTGTTAATCGCAGTCTTTAACTTTCTCATTCAATGGTCACACTGTGTAAAACTCTTATAGTTTTACACATTTTTATGATCATTGAATGAGTGAAATCAAAGGTTGAGATTAACAGTGGAAAATGAAAATATATTCACTGAAAAAAAATAAGGAATTAATCTCAGCCTTTAATTTTCCTCCATCCAATGATCCTAAAAAGGTGTAAGACTAAATGAGTTTTACACAGTATAATTGGATATTGTCTATATATATATGTCTCAGGATCCACTTATACAGTGTAAAACTTTTAGTTTTACATCTTTTTATGACCACGGGATTGAGAGAAATCAAAGACTGAGATTAATTTTTGTTTTTTCTATTTATCTTTTCATTTTCTACTGTTAATCTCAACATTTGATTTTTCTTTATCTAATGGTCCTAAAAAATGTAAAACTCTTAATTATATATTAGGTGTATACGGATCATGTCCCATATATATATATATTAATTTGTCGTGTTACAAAAATTTAAAACTATACATGTGAGTATTATTGATTTTGGGGTTTTCATGTCGTTCGTGGTTGGAAATGACGAGGGGAGTTCACAATTCAAACATATTTGAGATTAATTGTTGGAAGCATTAAAATCATTGAAGCTATAATTGCATACATAACAATAACAATAATAATACTGTCATAGTGGGGGTGTCGACTCTTGCTGATCTGGCTGCCAAGTAATATGGGACCCACTCTAATGTATATGGAGCCCACCACAGTGAATCCAGTGATGGATGGACGGTCAGGGATGCTCCAGATTGCAGGAACTGCTCGATTTTTAAAACGAGGGAATGTGGAGTGGAGTGGAGTGGAGCCAAAGGAATGATAAGTTCAAGATGCTCTTATGTAATGATAGAGCTTTAGTTTTTAAGCTCAAATCATGAGTGATAATTTTGGTGTCTAAGTTTTTAACGGTGAAATGTTAAAATTAAATTTTAGACATGGTTTTGAAAATAAAATAAAATTTATGTACTAAAACGGATAAAAATGATAGTTTAAATATTAAATGTGTCATATACCTTTATTTTTATGGATAAATTACACATTCAGTATCTAAATTATCAGTCTTGGTATATTTTAATACCTAAACTTTTAATTTTTCAAAATCATACATAAAGTTTAGTTTTTGTTTCATTTTAATATATTGTTCAAAATTTAATGTTAAGTTTTAATTTTTTTTGAAAGTTTAGGTACTAAAACGGGCTAAAACTAATAATTTAGGTACCAAATGTGTTAAGTTCTTTACGGTATGATACTTAAATAAAACAAAAATTAAACATTAGGTATGATTTTAAAAAAATTAAAAGTTTAGATACTAAAATAAACCAAAACTGATAGTTTAGATCTTAAATGTTTAATTTACCCTAACTTAATTTGTAGTTTAGTCGAGCTCTTAAAAATACTTATTTAGAATAATATGGGTTGATTCAAGTAGTAAGCAGTTTGATATCGTTTAAGCAAGGTCTCGAGTTCGAGTCTTTGTATATGTAGAAAATCTCAACTAGAAGATTCACCCATCAAAATTAGATGTACGACACAAATTAATCTGAATTAGTCAAGATGAAGTCTTATAACCCGAGTAAAAAAAACTTATTTAGAAAAAAGAAAAAGGAAAAGTTAAGAGTTCGGGTAAAGAAAAATAAACCCATCCGGCCATGTGGCACATATATCCATCTTCATGTACCAATGTGAGATTGAAACAAAAAGCAAAATATCCCTCCTCCCAAAGCAAAGAAAGTTAAAATCATTGACCAGGTGGCGTACAAAGGAGAGAAGGTTAACCTTTTGGGTTAAATCCTGATTTTGGTCCTACTTTATTAAAGTTTGTAAATCATGTTCTAATTGACCCGGTTATAAAAATTCGTAATATAGTTTAGGTACTAAATATGTAATTTACCCAAATTAATAATATGAGAATCATAGTAACGGTAGCTTCAGCTTCACGGCCTGAGAATTTGTGGTGACCACAATGGCACCAACCACTGCCACTGCTTCCTCCAACCAAACCTCACAAATACCCTGATGGAGCTGACCATGAAATTAAATAATGTCGTAATGACAAATTCAAACCACCGTTTAAAATCACGAACCAATTCGATTAAGTGAGAAATGAATTATTGTTATTTTTTAAGACTCGAGTTCGAACACCATAGATGTTGGGAGTATAAACGTTCAATATCAAAAGATAAAAAGTTATATTTAAACATATACTACTTTATATTTACCTAAATTAATAAAAAAATCTCCATTTAGAAATGTGGGGTTTTAAGGTAATTTCAGATGTCACCAGAAAATAAATAACTGGAAAGATGATTCTCTTACACTTTCGGGGCAAGCAATTCGCAATTGTTGCAGCCGCAACCCGGTAGTTGAACCCGAGGACCGTCATTGTTCATCCGATAAATATATTTATAAAATGGATAAATTATGGTTTGGTCCATATATTGTACTAAAGTTTATTAATCTTCCAATAGATAAGGATAAATTTGACCTTAGAACAAAAATATTCATGGGTAAAGTACACAGATGATCCCCATTATTGCTTTATTAAGTCCCTACCATATTAAAAGTTACAAAATGGTAGTTAGACTATAGAATATTGCTTTGTTGAGTCCCTCGACTACTAAGAATTATAAAATGGTCACCAGACTATTCATAATGCTTCAAACTCATCATTTTCGTTAAAAAAATAATGTTAATCTAAGCTAAACGTTAACCTTATGACTATGTTATGATAAAATTTGATCACAAAATATCAAATGACTAACATATCACAATCATCATAACAAATAGTCGAATGACCATTTTATAACTTTTAATAATTGAATAACTTAACAAAGAAACACTATATAATCTAAATACCATTTTGTAACTATTAATAGTTGAAAGATTTAATAAAAATAATACCTTATAGTCGTGAAACCATTTCCGTACTTTACCAAATATTATTTTACATTTTTTGTTAATCTGGAGTAAGTACAATATAATATTTGTTGTAAAATATATTCTTATCTTTCAACATCAAACGTTCACACTACTTATACCTACGTTGTTCGATTATAATAACATACCCTTTATCACGTAATTCGCTTAGTTCGTACAATATTATTATACTTTGATAAATAAGTTTTAAGTATTTATTTAGGGAGGTTTGGGTAGTAGTCTCATAGACCACATAGCATAGCGAGAGAGAGAGAGAGAGAGAGAGTCTAAAATAGTGCGATGCCAGCTATGAAATTGAAGGATCAAAGCATTCCCTGATGTCAAAGCTGGCACTCCTCCATTTTAAATCAATCCTCCATCTTTCTTCAACTCATCCCGCTCTTAAATCCCATTTTCCCTCTCATTTTCCCATCCTTCATTTATCCCAGAAAGTGAAAAAGGAAAATGTGCATGCTTTGAGTGCAAGGAAGAAAAAAGAGAGAGGTGTTAATGGTTGATTGAGTTTTAAACGTTTTGATTCTTTCTCAACAAAGATTATATAGCTAAGAAGAAGAAGATATAATCAACCCCATGGCTGTTTCTCCTTGTTTAAGTGGAAATGATCAAAAGAAACTCTGGTGGCTTACCAATCGAAAGGTAGAAAAGAAAAATGGCGAAGCTTTGATCTTTGATCCAGTGTTTGTTCAAGTTTCCGTTTCTGTTTTTCTCATGTTTCTGCATTGATCTGGGCAGGTTGTCGATAGGTACATTAAGGGAGCGAGGAGCCTCATTGCGACGCAAGATGAGAACGACATCGTTTCGGCTCTGAGTCTGCTCGACGCGGCGTTGGCTCTGTCGCCTCGTTTCGAGATCGCCGTTGAACTCAAGGCGAGATCTTTGCTGTACCTGAGGCGTTTCAGGGAAGTTGCCGATATGCTCCAAGATTATATCCCGAGTCTCAAAATTTGCATCGACGAGTCTGGCTCGGTTTCCACGGATAACTCGTCACAACGCTTGTTGAGGGAGCGAGTCAAGCTTCTCCCTTCCGATAACTCGTCTTCCGACTCACCTGGCCGTGACCCGTCTTTCAAGTGTTTCTCTATCTCGGAATTGAAGAAGAAAGTCATGGCCGGGTTGTGGAGAAACTGCGAGAAAGAAGGCCAATGGAGGTAATTTCTTCAAGCATTTCCGGGTAAAAAGTTTTCCAAATTGATTGAACTCAAACTCACTTGAAACTCAATTTCGAAACAGGTACTTGGTCCTAGGCCAAGCATGTTGTCACCTAGGCCTAATGGAGGACGCCTTGGTTCTCCTTCAAACGGGCAAGCGCCTCGCTTCCGCCGTATTCCGCCGCAAGAGCGTTTCCTTGTCCGAAGACAGCTTCTCCCTCCCCAACGCTATCGCCGCATCCGACATCTCCTCCGTCTCCATGACGCCTCCTTCAACGCCGCCACGCGACCCCACTCCTTTCTCTGAATCCGAAAACATCTCTCAGCTTCTATCCCATATCAAACTCCTCATACGCCGTCGAACTGCCGCCGTTGCTGCATTGGATGCAGGCTTACACTCGGAAGCCATCCGCCATTTCTCCAAAATAGTCGACGGACGACGCCCTGCCCCTCAAGGCTTCCTTGCAGAGTGTTATATGCAACGAGCCTCGGCTTACAGGGCCGCCGGACGCATTGCCGAGTCGATCTCCGATTGCAACAAGACTCTCGCACTTGATCCAACATCCATTCAAGCTCTCGACACCAGGGCCTCACTCTTCGAAACAATACGATGTTTGCCCGATTCTTTACACGATCTCGAACACTGGAAACTCCTTTACAAAACCATTTTGCGAGACAGGAAGCTTCCGGGACCTGCCTGGAAGCGTCACTACGTGTGTTACCGGGAGATTCCCGGCAAGCTTTGTGCATTAACCACTAAAATCCAACAATTGAAGCAAAGGGTTGCTTCTGGTGAGACAGGAAATGTCGATTACTATGCATTGATAGGCTTAAGGCGAGGGTGTTCAAGGTCCGAATTAGACAGGGCTCATTTGTTACTATCTCTAAGGCACAAACCCGATAAAGCTACCAACTTTATCGATCGATGCGAGTTTGCCGACGACCGTGACCTGGTTAAAGACCGAGCCAAGATGTCGGCATTGTTTCTTTACCGATTACTTCAAAAGGGTTATTCCAGCATGATGGCTACCGTTATCGAAGAAGAAGCTGCCGAGAAGCAACGGAAGAAAGCTGCGGCCGCATTACTAGCAGCACAGGCAGCAATTCAAGCGCAGCAAACCCAATATTCCAGCACTAAACAGGAACCCGAAACAAATTCATCGAACATTTCTAGCTGCAAAACCAGGGCTAAATCCAGTGAAAACAAAGCCAAAACAACTAGTTCCAATCCGAATGTGTTCCAAGGTGTATTCTGCAGGGATCTGGCCGTGGTTGGGAATTTACTATCACAAGTTGGGTTTAATCGACCACTTACACTGAAATACGAGGCACAAAGCTGCTGATTTTGCCATTGAGAATCGATAAAAGATATTTTTACCGGCCGTGAATCTCTGTTTCACTGTCCCCATTTGTACAAATATGATTAAATTGTCTGCCGGAAATTTGTCACCCTATTTCTTTCATGTCATCCAGTCGCTGTATATAACTTTCATTATTGAAAATTTTCTACTTTTGGTACATTTTTTTCTTCATATTTTGCATTTCATTAGCCTTAACTTTATTTTCCGTAAAGTTTTCTATTTCAATTGATTTTTTTCTGGTTTGAATGGGACAAAGTGGTACTGTAATGGCCAGGAAACAAAAGATTGACAGAAGCTACTGTGGTTTGGATTCTTGTAATTGTTTTGGCATTTAAAGTTTCTCTGCTTTGTTATCCATGAACTAGCTTTATCTGACATTCTGCTAGATTGCATTTTTGCTATTTCCACCACCCAACATTTTCCAAAATAAACTGATAATTTTATGAAGGGTAAATTACATAGTATAATTGATAATAATAGTTAGGGGGAAAACATCAAGGCCCATATGCTTTTGAAAAAAATAAATGTGGTTATCGTATTTTTTTTAATGTGGTCTTTTAATTCTGAAAATATATCTAATGTGGTCATTTGATAAAAAATTTCTGCCATTGACTGTTATAATCTTGGTGTGTCAATTCACGGTACTTATTGACTATTATATCAATATCGTAAATTACCACATTAGTATAATAATTGACATGTCAATATTTTAGCGGTTAATGATGAAAAAAAGTTAGTTAAAGAGATACACTTAATTTATTTAATGAGTTTAAGGTCTATATTGAGAGAATATAATACGAGACATTAATTTTTTTTAAATAGTATAGGTACCTCTCATACATATTTGTCTTTATTGTTTAAATATAACATTCCATAGGGAAGCTAGATATTGGGAGAAGGGATGTGATTGGCATTGGAAAACACCCAAACACTTTGATGGAGTTGTGTGGGCACATGGTGGCTTTGAGTGTAGCTTAATCATTATTAAAACCTATGAAAATTATAAATAAGAGGGCAGTGTAAAGTGGCTTAACATAGAGGGAAAGTGTCTGCAATTTTCAGGTCCCTCTGTACCCTAATACAACCAAAAGAGGGTCTAAATCCAACACTCAATTCAAAGGAAAACACAAATGGATTTAGAAAGGGTGATGTCATTTCAAAGCTTACAACTTTACCATCATTTGGGCATAGATTTTCATGCAAACAAAACCCACCAATTGCAATCCTCAATGCAATAATTGCATATGATGAGTAGTGGGTGAAAGAAATAACTCAGTAAGATTTTTTTGTTAGGGAGTAAATTTAAAATTAAGAAGATAAACTTGAATTTATAAAAAATAAATTAAAAAATAAAACATATTTTTAATATAAAATACATTAAAAAATTTAAAATATATAATAATTATAAATTTTTAGAGGACAGCAACCCTCATCTGTCACCCTTGATCTATCTCTAATCATAAATTTAAATTATTTTAGTTATCGCATGATATTTACTTTATTCATATGTTGGGTTTTACCCTTTTTTTTTTTTATATAATTAATATTTTTGATCACTCAGTCGTTAAATATATTTTTAAGTAATACAAAATAAACCGAGATTAGCTCGTTGATTGTTTGTCCTCCGTAACTAAAGCGGAACCTTCACAAGGAATGTCTTGGTGAAACTTCACTCTAACCGGTTCTCCAGTAGCCATGGATGCAAGCTTGTCGGCTACTCTATTCACCTTTCTACATATATGGTGAATCGTTCTTAAATATTTAACATCGTTAAAATAATGTCGTTTTAGAAAAACAAAATTTTCACTAATTGTATTATTTATAACGTCGTTTAGTGAAAAAATAGTTGAGTGACAAAAAATATTAATTGTATTAAATTCAATGAGCGAACATATTTAATGTATATTAAATGAAATAGGAGAAAAATTAAGGTTCAATGATGATTTGTATAATTTACCTTACTTGTTAATATTGGATTCATGAGACATTGGTGTATCATGTGTGTACATATATACTTATTTTTGGTACGTCATATAAAATTGGTATACCAAATGTGTTCGGTGGCGGATGCAAAGTATAGTTAGGGTTAGAGATATGTGTTCACTTTGAAATTCGATTTTTTTTTAATCTTAAAAAAGTATTTTTGAATCTGTCACTGAGGGGGTGTTTGGTTCAAGGATTGTGAGATTCCCATGGGATGGAAATCCCACATTCCCATGTTTGGTTGGCCGGGAATCTCATTCCCAATAATGTTTTATTACCAATAGTAGATTTTTTGGGGTATATTACCGGGAATGTCATTACCTCCATTCCCTTAGTTATTGTAACATTACCGGTGTTTTGGACTAAAATGCCCTTAAATTTTTATTTTTTTCAAAAATATCCTTCTTCCCTCATTGAATAATAAAAATTATACGAATGTTAAATTACAAATTTATCCTTAAATTATTTTAGATTTACAAAAAAAATCAATAATTAAAATTTTATATTAAGTTCAGGGGTTAAAAAAGTTTACCCTTTCATTAAACCTTTTTTATATTTTTAATTTTGTAAAACAAATTATATAAATATTATGAATTTAATTTTTTAAAGAAAATATATATATATTTTACATTTTGTAATATTATACAAATATATAATAAGGACAATTTGGTCAAATATATATTCTAATAATCTTTAATTCCTTTAATCAAACATGATAATCTTACATTCCTGCTAAACCAACCAAACACAAAATACAACATTCCCAGTAATCATATTCCCTGGTAATCTTTTATTCCCACTGATAATCTTACATTCCGTGAACCAAACGCACCTGAATGTGTTAAATGTATAATGATGTGGTGGATAACCTGGGACGGAATCATACGCTTTTCTTAAATTGGTAATCTTTTTTTTATCCGGGTGTTTATATACGATTTTATATTTATAAACACAAATTTTAGTATTTTTCTTAAATTGTTAGTTACAATAAAAATTAAAAATATAAATCCACGTTGTCTAACAATAAATATAAGACAATTAAAAAAATTGATGACAATTTTAATTTAACTAGTAAAAGTTATAAAAAAAAAAGAAAATAACATCAGTTATCAAAAATCCCAAATAATATACGATTTTGATCAATTTTTTTTGGATTTACGAAAATGACCAACAAAATCACAATGCGATCTTTAATTCGCATTGCAATATCCACTATCGCAAATTCGCGTTGCATTTCGCGTTGCGATAGTTGGAAATCGCGTTGCGATTTTCCATTTCGCGTTGCGGTAGTTGAAAATCGCGTTGCGATAGTCTACAGTTGTTGTTGCGAAAGTCTACAGTTGTCGTTGCGATTTTCTAAATTCGTTGCGATAGTTAAAAAAAAGATTTTGTTTCTTAAGAATTTTCTCTAAAAAGATAGTATCCGCGCGGACGTGTCGAAGACACCACGACCACGACCACGAGACGAGACGGCGGCGGCGCGCGAGAGTCTCCCTTGTTCTCTATCACTCAACAAGGAAGTGGGAAAACTAAGCCTTAAATACCATTCCCAATAGTATTTCCAATACTATGTGGGATTTGAGCATTACCAACACTTGTTCCCAATACTATGTGGGATTGAGCCTTAAATAGTGATATTATTTTTGAATGTTTTGCTTAAAATTGCAATAATCGCGATTGATTGTAGATTGACTTTTAATTAAGACATATTTAATCGTATAATACTAATGCAATTGGTTGTTGATTCAGTTGTTTTAAGGTGCATGATTGTTAATTGTTTCATGAATAATCACATTGTATTGGAAACAAGTGTTGGTAATGCTCAATCCCACATAGTATTGGAAACACTATTGAGAATGATATTTAAGGCTTGGCTTTCCCACTTCCTTGTTGAGTGATAGAGAACAAGTGGGACTCTCGCGCGCCGCCGCCGCCGTCGTCTCGGGTTGGGTCGTGGTCGTGGTCGTGGTCGTGGTCATACGTGTCTTCGACACGTCCGCGCGGATACTATCTTTTTAGAGAAAATTCTTAAGAAACAAATTTTTTTTTTAACTATCACAACGAATTTTCGCAACGACAACTGTAGACTATCGCAACGAATTTGGAAAATCGCAACGCCATTTTCAAATATCGCAACGCGAAATGCAACGTGGAGATCGCAATGCGAATTAGAGATCGCATTGCGATTTTGTTGGTCATTTTCGTAAATCCAAAAAAAAATTGGTCAAAATCGTATATTATCTGAAATTTTTTGGCACATTCAGAGGAATCAAATTCAACAACCATTACAAATTAAATATGAAGCAATGATGCATAAATGTGAAGAACATTGAGGAACTTCTAGTGTAGTTCTACCATGAGCTAAAGAAAAAACCACACCTAGTCGTGTACAGTTGGAAATATATTACCTTCCAGATGCAGCTGCAGCAAAGAATTTTTCATTCCTACGAATTGGATCTGGGGCAATGAAATGGGTTGCCTGATATGACCATTGATGAGAATATCTACAAAACTTGCCTTTCAATCCCCGAATGACTTGCTGAAATTCTTTTCTCTGCAGTCTGTGGCCACTCAATATAAAACATGAAGGCTCGTTTTTCATTCTGTTCAAAACCTTCTGCAGCGGTTGCCTGGGCTGTTAGAATCAACCTTCTGCGATTTTTCATTAGTCCTCGATGTTTTGCTATTGGGTTTACGAACAGATTTCCCAGCAATCTCCCCATGATGAACAGGGCTGCTCTCGTCTGCTGCCCCGGAGATTTCCACTTTCGAAGTAGTGCTGCCTTTTGGTTCGGCAAAATCTCGTTGATAGTGCGTTGAAATTTTTTTATTCGTTAAATAGTGGGATCGCCAGATTAATTGCTAAAGTAGTGTCCTCTACAGTACCGGGGGTAGGTCGCCATGCACGCCCGGCGACCAACAAGGTCGCCATGCACGCCCGGCGACCAACCAGGTCGCCATGCACGCCCGGCGACCAACCAGGTCGCCATGCACGCCCTGCGACCTACCCCACGACCTC